GGGTGCCCAGTGCCCGTCAGTCAGGGTGCCCGCTTCGCTGCAGGAGGTCGATGCCCAGACAGTGCGTGAGGTCTGCTCCAAGTACTTCTATGACCAGTGCCCCGCGGTGGCTGCAGTGGGTGAGTCACCTGCCCGCCTGCTCTCTGTCCTCCCTGGGCCCTTCCTGCGCCCCCCACCCCCACCCCAGCTTGCACTGGGAGCAGCCAGAGGCCCCGAGAGGCTCTGCCCATAGTCTGGCTGCCAGGGAGTTCTTGCTCAGAAAACCTGTCCCAGCAACTCCCTGCCTCCCTGCCAAGGTGCCTCCATCAGTGCCCGACACCCACCAGGTAACGGACACCGCGGGGTGGGGCTCGGAGCCGAGCGTGAAGGGACAGGCTCGGCGCCCCGGGATGTTCTCCCCTCTTCCCCCAGAGCCTGCCTGTGCCGCTCTGGGCAGCCCCGAACTGGGTGCGGCGCAGGGCCAGGTGTCCCTGTACCAGCCAGGCGCCCGCCCTGACACCGCCCATCCCTACAGGCCCCATCGAGCAGCTCCCCGACTACAACCGGACCCGCAGCGGCATGTTCTGGCTGCGCTTCTAGGCAGGAAGCCTGTCGGCAGGAGGGCGGCCGGCGCCCGGGCCCCCACCAGGAACATGCCGCCTCAGCTCCTCAGTCCTTGCCACACCAATAAAACCCTGCTGAGAGCTGCGTGTGTCTGGCTTTGCATGGGGTCCACTGGGCAGCGGCGGGGGGCCTTCCGCCTCCCCACAGGCTGCGTGTCCCCAGCGGGGGGCCAGCGTGCGCTGGAAGCCTTTGCTGCCTCAGGCAGATGAGGCCAGATGTTCCCACTTAGCCACGTGGGGTGCTCCTGGCCAGAATGTCCGGCGTGAGCAGGGCGTCCACAGCAACTGCACACCCAGCCTCTGCCCTGAGGGAGGCCCCCGGGACTCGGGTGCCCAGGCGGAAGCCCCTGCCGTCACCCTCTGGTGCCTGGTCCCCGGATGGACCAAGAGGGGCCGAGGGCTCCCTGACGAGCCACCTTCGTGTTTACTCTGGATTCTGGGAGGAGGGTAGCCTGGGGCGTCGTGTCCCCATTTGGTTCGTAGCTGCTGCCTGGACAGGCAGGGCAGCAACTCCTCTGCCTCCTGCTCGCTCGCTTGCTCGCGCTGACTCAGGCTCCAAGAATAGCCTGAGCCCAGGACCTGAGCCCCCTCCCTGCCTCGGTCTCCCAGGCAAGTCCTGAGCTGCTACCCAAGGTCCCCTCCCCGTCTTCCTGAGGCTCTGGCTCTAGGCCCCTTGCCCCCATGGGCCCAATGCAAGCAGATAGGGAAGGCCCTCTTCCTGCGGTCGGGTCCCCTGGAGCCTGGGGGCGGGGGGGTGGGGGTGGGAGTGAGGGGCCGAGTCTCCGAGGAAGGTGTTGCTGGGAGTTGTGAGCAGGTCCTGGGTCGGGATTGCTGAGGACGGTTCAGCTCCGGCCTCACAGCAGCCAGAGCAGCCCTTGAATCCCTCCCGCTGTCGGGTGGCAAGTAACATCAGGTCAGGTGCTTCTAGAACTCGGGCCGGGGGACTCAGATCCCCCCACGTTGGGGCCACAGGAGCAGCGAGCACTGCGAAGCCTGGCCAGCCCCTGTGCTCACAGCGGCAGCTCACCAGGCCTCGTTGGAGCTCCTGAGGGATGAACTGCTTTCTAAACCCAGGCCAGGGCCAGGAAGGACATGTCCGGGGGAGGGGGAGGTCAGAGCTCAAGGCCCCGCTGCCCTGAGGGAGGCCTGCCTGGAGGCGGCAGCCAGAGGCCCAGAGGACCACACTTGCGCTCTTGAGGCTCCCAGGAGCTCCCGACAGGCCCTCGGCCTTAGCCTTGCTCCTGCCGCCCAGCAGCCTCTTCAGCACCCTTTGACCCCTCACAGCAGGGGCCTGCCTTTCTTTTGGGGCCCCTTAAGGTTCCGGTGAGGTTTGCCAGCTGGGCCTGTCTCCCCTAAAGGCTCACCCACACTGGTGTCCATACTGTATGTGCCAGTGCCTCCTGCTCTCCTCCACCTCTGAGCAAGGGAAGGGGAGGTCTGGGGCAGGGGCTGCCTCTAACAGGAGCATGTCTGGGCCCGGCCGGCGGGGCTCAGGGGTTGAGCGGCGGCCTATGAGCCAGGAGGTCACGGTTTGGTTCCCGATCAGGGCACAGGCCCGGGTTGCGGGCTCCATCCCCAGTGTGGGGCGTGCAGGAGGCAGCCGACCCATGATTCTCTCTCATCGTTGATGTTTCTCTTTCTCCCTCTGAAATCAATAAAAATATATTTTTAAAAAATGACAAGGCAAGACTTGTCTGGTTCTTTGCTACCCTCACCTGTAGGTCAGTTTCAAGGGGGGAGGTCCTGGCAGTTTTGGGGAAAGGTTTGGGCCCTGTGGGTCAGGTCACTGCATCCCAGGAGAGCTGGGGGGGCCAGCGCTGAGGTGGCCTCTGCCTTCTGGGTGACAGGACGAGGCAGCGGGGACACAGCTGTCCCCGGAGCCGCAGGCCTGGAGGGGTCCAGGGAGACAAGCTCAGCACGGGCCACCCCAGCTCTCCCCGCAGCCTGTGGGTCCCCACTCGGCAGGGCCGGGCACGCTGGGAGGGCTGGGTGGCCGCGGCGAGTGTAGATGTACTTCTGGGCTTCCAGAACGATCCGGGCTGACAGGGAAATGGAGGAGAGACTGGGGCACCCTCTGCCTCCAGTGAACATGCACGTAGTCACCTCAGGACAGTGGCCCTGACCTGGGGGGACTGGGGCCCTGACCAGTCACAGAAGCCAGTGCGGGGAGACAAGTGGGAGGTTCGGGGGAGGGTGGGCGGGCAGGGGTGGTTAGGAAGGGGGAGCAATGGGTGGACGCAAGGGCTGGAGGGGAGCCCAGGTGACCTCGGCCTGGGGGGACGGTGGGAGGAAGCCGGCTTCCAGGTGTCAGGCCAGGAGGAGGCGGTAGGCGGGGGTCTGGCCTGAGGCAGGACGGGGCGCACAGGCAGGAGGGTGCATTCCTGAGGAAGGAGCTGTCCCTGTGGGTGGTCCCTGCAGGCACAGCTGGATGGCATCTGTCTGGGCCGGTGCCGGCATCACGGGACGCGGGGCGCGGGGACGGACACGTATGCAGAAGCTGACCGATCCTCTCCTGCCCTCCCCCCCCCAACACACACACAAGGGGGAGGGCGTGCCCTGGGGGCAGTGTGCTGTGCTCTCCCTGGGGTCAGCTCCGAGCCCTCATTTGGGGGGCTGCTCTGCTTGTCAGGGGGATGGGGTGCGGCACAGGCGGCCCGCCCCACCCCACAGGACGGAGGGGCTGAATCACGGAGCGGCCGTCTGGCCCCCGGTGGGGCGGGGGTGAGTCATTCTGCCTCCAGCCCCCAGGAGCCTGGGAACGACCCCAGTCCCCTCGCTCTCACGTGTGAGCTGCAGCCGCCACCACATCCACCCCAGGGGGCCGGCGGGGCCCCTCCGCCGTCCGTGGAGAAACTTGCGGGGAGTCCCAGGAGCCTCGGGACGTGGGG